TTGACCCTCTTCTTTGCCAGAAATGACCATTGTGCCGTCAGGGATCCTCTGCCCTTTTCTAGCACTTGAGCTTCCTTGAAGACATAGCCAAAGTGGGTTGAAGCCTTGCTATTCTAGCATCTAATAACATCTTAGCTGTATTTCTGCAAAGATGTGTATGTTCATTCTTTTGGAAATCTGTATAGCATATTAAGTATTCTTTGTCTACCAAAGTTTGAACACATCAACTCTCCTTTCTTTTATTGTTATTCAACTTTTTACATGCATATGAGGTGATTAAAAGACCATGAATTGGGCTATTTTTCCAGTACATTGTTGTTGTTAGGTGCTGTCGAGTACGACTCAGAGACCCTATGCCTCCAAGGAGCACTTGCCTCCATCGAGCACTTTGGCTGCACCCTTCCCAGAACATAACTGATTTTTCTGGCAATTCATGGAATATTTGGTGTTCTTCTCCAGCACCACAACTCAAAGGCATCAATTCTTCTTCTGTTATCCTTCACCCTTGTCCAGCTCTCTCTGATTCATAGCAGGTGATTGAGAAGACCATGGCCTGAATAAGGCACACCTTAATCTTCAAACTGACATCATTGCTCTTCAGTATTTTGGAAAGGTCTCAGACTGCCAGTTTGCCCAATGCAGTATGTGTCCTGATTTCCTGATTGCTGGTACCAAGGGTGTTGATTGTTGATCCAAACAAGATTAAATCATTGACAGTTTCAATCTTTTCTCCGTCTATCATAATGTTAACTATTGGGTATGTGGTGAGGATCTTTGTTTTCTAGTATATGGTATTGCTAATACAAGCAACGACAAATATATATGTATATATTGTTGTGGTTGTTGTTGTTAAGTGCCATCGAGTCGTAGATGACTCATAGCAACCCTATGAACGAAAGACCTGAACACTTGTATAATTTTCATCGTTTCTCCAAGTTCATAGGGTTTCTGGAGGCGAGCTATTTCAGAAGTGTATGCCACTCCTGCTTCCAAGCTTGTTTTAATCAGGGAGCTCCACCAAACACTGTCCACCATAGGTAACCATTATCGCGTTTGACACATCAGTGTCACAGTGTTTAGCATCACAGCAACCATGAGTTACCTCTGTATAACAAATGGACAAACCGGTGTTGTACCATTTAGAAGAACGTTTGACCAAAACCAAAATCAGGCCTGAGGGCCACAGATTAAATCACCCACCTTTGGCTAGGTAGCATCACTTTCTGTTCATGCACGCTCTCGCTGTCTATCTATCTATCTATCTATCTATCTATCTATCTATCTATCTATCCATCCATATATAGACATATATTCATATATATCTATTCACGTATATCTATTCACACACACATATATATATTTGTTGTTGTTGTTGTTATGTGCCATCGAATCGTTTGCAACTCAAAGTGACCCTATGTACAAGAGCTCTAAACGCTGTTCTATCCTACGCCAACCTAGCCATCTCAAATGCACTTATTCCCAACGCTCCAGTCACAGAATCAATCCATCTCATTGAAGGTCTTCCTCTCCTTCGCTGCCCCTCCACTCTGCCAAACATGATGTCCCTCTCCAAGGAGTCCGTCCTTGCAACATGCCCAAAGTATGTCAGACGAAGCTTCAGAATCCTTGACTCCAGGGAACACTCTGGCTTCACCCTCTCCAGGACAAACCTGTTTGTTCTCCTAGCAGTCCATGGTATATCCAACACTCTTCTCCAGCACCACAGCTCAAAGGCATCAATTCTCTTTCTATCATCCCTAGTCACTGTCCAACTCTCTGATGCATAGCACGTAATTGCAAAGACTATAGCCCAGATCAGGCACACCTTAGTCTCCAGCCTGACATCGTTGCTCTTCTGTACTCTTGAGAGGTCCCTCACAGCTGACTTTCCCAATACAATTCGTCTCTTGATTTCCTGGCTGCTGTTACCAAGAGTGTTGATTGTGGAGCCAAGCAAACTAAAACTGTTAACTATCTCAATTTCTTCACATCCATACTGATGTTGCCAGTTGGCCCGGTGGTGAGAATCTTTGTTTTTTTGATGTTGAGCTTCAATCCATATTGAAGGCTGCAGTCCTTGACCTTCTGCAGCAAGCGCTTTAGATCCTCCTCAGTTTCAGCAAGCAGGGTTGTATCATTTGCATAACTTAGGTTGTTGGTGACTGTTCCACCAATCCTGATGCCACATTACTCCTTGTATAGCCCAGCGTCTCGGATGATCTGTTCTGCATACAGGTTGAAAAGGTATGGAGACAGAATACATCCCTGACGGAACCCCTTGTTGATTTTGAACCATGTAGTGTCTCCTTGCTCTGTTCTGACGAGCCTCTTGGTCCAGGTATACGTTTTGCATTAGCACAATCAAATGTTCTGGGATTCCCATTCTTCTCAGAGTCAGCCACAGCTCGTTGTGATCCACACAGTCAAAAACCTTTTCATAGTCAATGAAGCACAGATAGACATTCTTCTGGTATTCTTTGCTTTCTGTCATATATATATTTTCTACCCTCATTTTAAAAGGAAAGGAGCAGCTCTGGTGGAATGGAAGTTAAAAGTTCAGATGCTAATAATTATTGAGTGTTCAGCTGTTCAAATCCAGCAGTTACTCCACCCAAGAAAGATCCTTCCTTTAAGATTTACAGCTTTGGGAATGCTTGTTTTCCTCCATCCTGTGTCATCAAAGGCAGTGGTTTGTTGTTTTACTTGTTTGTTTTTTGTAGCTGAATGCTTAAGCACTCAGTGGTGTTCCAACCCACCCAACATCTCCTTAGGATAAAAACCTGGCCATCTTCCCCCTTAAAGATCACAGCTGAGGGCATCTATGGAGGAATTCTATTCTGTTCTGTGAACAGAACATTAACTCAACAGGTCCTGGTAACAACCACCCTTTTTTCCACACAAGCCAGCATTTATCCTATACCTTGCTCTCCCCCCGAATTTAATAAGCTCTAGAGATCACTATATATCAGAACCTAGAGAACACCCTTCATTCTTCTTTTCCATTGAATCAAACTCCATTATGAAGAGGTATCATTTATTTAAGTCATTTCCTATTGCGGGCTTAGGTGGCTATTTCTCATCTTCTGTACCTCAGAGAATGCCATAGTGAATAGTCTTATTGCATATAGTCATTGTGCTCATGTCCAGGTCCCACTGCGATGAACTGCTGCTTCTCAGGTGTCTGCACAGCATTTTTAAAAAGTTCTCAGTTTAGAGCCTGTCACAGCTGGATCCATATGTAAAGTTCCGTAAAAGTGAATCACTAGGAAAATGAATTAAAAAAAAAAAACAAAACCAAAACACAACAAACCACTCCACAAAGAAAATATAACCAAAGTATTTTATTAGATTTAATAGACATAAAGTTGATCTGTTAAATTACTGTAAAAGTTTGTCACACTCTTTCAAGTTTCTACACTTTCCATGGTGGTGTTAACATTTGGAGTGAGACAGTGGTCTGTGAGCCATACTTGGAGTACCACTGGTTTAAACAGAAAGTAGGTGCTATTAAGTTACTTCCACCTTAAGTTAAAGGTCCACACACCTTTGTGTCTGAGTAGAACCATGTTCCATAGGGTATCAAGGTGCCCTTTCACAAGCAGATCACCTGACTTCTCTTCCAAGGCGCCTCTTGGTAGGTTTCAGCACCAGCCTTTGTTTGTGTCAGCCACGAAGCCCAGATAATAGATGATTAGATCCAAGGGTAAATTTATTCATAATTTTACCAGCTTTCACTAGGTTCCCTCCACAGGAGTTGTACCATTTGTTCATCCACCAACAATACATTAGAGAGTCCCTTTCATCATAGCCTCCCCCAAAAAGTCTGTCATCAGCTTAAATTTTTACATAATTGATAGATGAGAAATGGTATCTTAGTCTAAGTTTAATTTTCATTGCTCTTATTATGAATGAGAGTAAATATCATCCATTTTCTTAATTCCCACTTGTAGTTACATTCTTTGTCTATTTTTGTAATGGATTCTTCCTTTTTCCTTCTTGATCCTTAAGAATTCTTTATATATTAAATATCTGGGTGAGGATGAGAATGTTATTACTAAATCCAGGTGATGCATACATATCTTTGAACGATCACTGGTATTTTAACATTAAATTCTCAAAATGCTCTTAAAAAAAAAAAGAGGGAGGAGGACAAATTCTAAGTCAAAGTAACTAGTTTTGTAAACTGGAGGTAACAGATGTCAGTCTTATAACTATACCAATGTTTGGATAATTCTGAACTTTATTATTTAAAAAAAATAATTCTTTATATTTTAGTAGCATTAGCCAATTGTGATATGATTTTCACTTTTTTTTTGTTTTACTTGTCATTTGCCTTTTGATTTTGCTTGAAGTTTTGTTTGCTTGTTTGTATTCTTGGTTTAGGGGATGATGTGGAAGTTTGCTGTTTTGATGGAGTTAAATTTCTCTTTCATGTTATGGCTTTTGCATTTTGAATCACAACTCTGCACTCTATGGTTACAAAGGATTTTGCTTACATTTTTCTTCTAGTATTTTTATGGCCTTATTCTTGACATTTGAATCTTTTACCCATTTGGAGTTGTTCCTAGTATAAGGGGCTAGTGTGTCCAACTTTATCTTTTTACAAATGACTACCCATTTATCCCAACTCCATTTATTAAATGGTCCCTAAGATACCACCTTTATCATAAAAACTAATTTTAAACCATTTGGGATCATAATAGAAAAGGCTCCATAATTTGTCAGTTTTGCCCAGAATACCATTACAAGGAAAATTAGCTTTCAAGATATGATCTATAACGTTTGCCTTATTAGAGCAGCGTATACTCTGAGTAACATAACTAAGCTATGAGTTTACTTTTGGCACAGAAATACCACTGTGGGGCCCTTGATAACCATAAAGACAGTGCCATCAGAGCGCGCTAATGGTAGGAGCAATTTGGTGAGACTGAGTGTTTACATTGCTAGTCTTCTTCTCCCCAGCCCACCTCGTGGAGCCAGCGCTGAGGAGGAGCCCCGCCATGGTGGTCCCGGGACCCTTGACTGTCCCCCTGCTGCTGTCCAGTCTCACACTGCTGGTGTTAAACCTCTCCAGCTCCCAGGATGTCTCCAGTGAACCCCGCAGTGAACAGCAGCTATGCACCCCGAGGGAGCACCCCATCGTGGCCTTTGAAGGTGAGAGGCGCTTCCACACCTGTCCTTTTTTACATTGACTGTGACCTGCACAATATAGGCCAGACCTCAGCAGGGTCTTTCTGACTGTTGAAGTCCCTGGGATGTTCATTCCCTGTAGGTATTGAGACTCTTCCTCCGGGGATAGATATTTTAAGCAGGATGTGCTGTGATGGGTTGGTTGGTTTCCAGATGATTTATTCACACCTTTCATCCGTGTTTACCTGGGAGGAGAGGCAATCTTTCTCTGTGGCATCTTTGCTGAAGGACAGAGTTGTGGAAACCTGGTTAGAGGTGGACCAGAGGTTGGTTTTGATCTTCAGGAAGCAGGGGCTCAGAGTTGTTGGCTTCTTTGAGTGGAAAATGACTCACCATTAGGAAGTGTTTGGTGGCCTTCAGAAAACTGTTTTAACCCCAAGACAACTGTAGCATTTGCCTTCTTTTTGAGCCCTGAAACCCCCAAGGAAAAGAGTTCATGAATTCTCTCTGCTTACAAAGGGAGAACATAAGTGTGTCCCCTAAAGGTGATGCCAGACTAGGATTTGTGGATTACTGGGCCTATTCTGAGGGAAGTGTGAATTTTCTATCACAATCCCTAAAATGAGTATGTACACTTGATGAGCATCTTAAACAAAGCACAAACACAGAACATCCAGGTGATGTTGATGGTATGTGTTGGACTATGAACTTGTAGCTCAGAATCCTCTCCCCAGGTGCACATGCTGGAATCCGCACGGACAGACTCAGGAGGCCCTGGTCACGTTCTTAAATCGGACCAACACTGTCTGCGTGCTCCTCATAATAACCCTGGGAGGCAAGCAGGACAAGGACACTCAGCTCTTTTAACCGGTAGGAAGCCTGAGGAAGAGTAGGAGAGAGTGGTCGGAGTCAGACCTCAAGATTAGTCTCTCAGCCAGCCCTCCACCATCTCCATGACAGAGCGAGACCCCTCAGGTCTCCCTGATGGGGGGTCCTCTGCCCGCTCTCAGCTGCCTGAGCAGGAGACATGCCACCCCTCCCTGTGGGAATATGGATACCTGAGCAGAAGAATAAGAATGAGACTGAAATGAGTGGGATTTCTTTTTAGGAGATTGAATATGAATGAGAGTTGAGTCTTGCTGGGGTGGGGAGTTTGGGGTGTTCTAGAAGTGTAGGATTCCCAGCTGTGGGCTGACTTCTATCTCTGGGAGAGAGGTTTCTGACTGTCTTCTCCGAGCTGTCTTGTTTGAGCTGGGATCTGAGGCTTTGAAGGCTTAAATGGATTAAAGTAAATTAGCAATGTCTTTAAGTCTACAAACGAGTGCACACCCTCAGACTTCCGATGTTCCCAGAGCTCTGGTGGCTGTCCCTGGGCAGAAGACCGGGTGGGGGCACAGAGTTGGAGTTCTTAGGGCTGTGTGCCTCATGTTGGGGACCCCTGTGATGGCTTCTGGTGAAATGTCTCCTCTCAGGAGCTCTTTTCTCGGCTCTGCTCCTCTGGGTGACTCTGGGGACAGAGGACTCCCTGCTCCCTGCCAGGCTGGTCTGCATGGGGCAAACTGGGTAGAAGTGAAGGATAAGAATGAGGGATAGGGCGGAAGATGCTGCTTTATGCTGGGGTTCCTCTTATTGGAGATATATATATATATATATATATATATATATATATATATATATATATATATATATATACATACTCAGCATTTTTCACATGCATAATTCACTAACATTGATTATATTCATCATGTTATACAACCATCACCTTGAGGACATTTATGATCTTCTGTTGCTAATTACCTGAATGACACTGCCCCTTCCCCAATTAAGGACTGAGGTCCAGGCTAACAAAGGTTGTTGACCAGTTCTTCCTGGTTTGCTGGCTTCATCTCTGCTTTCCTTCCTCAGCTATGTATTTGTGCCTCCTCCCCAACTCCCCTATTCCCCATCTCCTTAGCTTTGAATTTCCCTCTTCATTCACCCAATTTTCATTGGCTCTGTTTGGCGCCAGGCACAGAACAGGGCGCTATGGGCCCTGTGGGGTGACAGGACCTTCCATTATCCCCTCCTGTTCAGTCTGTGTCCCTGGCACTTCCTGCAGTCCTCAGCTCTGTTGATCTTGGTCCAGGACCTTCTTGTATTCTTTACTCCTCACCCCTTAGTGCTGCTGAGCACACAGTAGGGATGCGTTCATGCTGGGTGGTTGTCAGTGCTCCATCCCAGGGAAATTGCTGTAAATCCAGTATCAAACTTCCAAGATCCCGTCAGATGTCACACTATTTCTAAAAGCTCTGTAGGCTCCTAACCGTGTAGCTGTGTGTTTCCCTCTCCCCTGACACCTGACTGATCTGTGGATATTTTCTAAATACCCTAGGGATTTCTGTCAGATGCAGAAACTGACAAACAGACGTTTTTCTGTTTGGATAAGGGTTTTTTTTTTGCCTTCAGGAAGCTTCTTTTCTAAAGGTCCCACCTGTATTTCCTTCGGCCCTCAAATTGGTTCATGTGCTGTGGTGTTACCAAGCCAGGAGGCAGGGAGAAGTCAAGCTACAGTGAAACACTGGCAGTGGTTAATCCACAAAGTGGGTAATTGAATTGACTATAATTAAAATCAGAGACGCGTCATGGAGAATGTCATTTTTCTCTTAAAGCCGCCGTCCACAGCCTCCGCTGTGCACGGAGCTCAGAACGTGCTTGGTGTTTTAAAGACTGCTTCCCCTGGTTCACTCTGCCTGTTTTTAAAGAGCAGGCTGGCTCCTTGCCCAACACCCCTGACCCCCCAAGATCACTGCTGGCATGACCACCTCATTTTCTCACCCATGTCCATCCTGTCAGGGTTAGAGAGACAGAAACTAGCAGAGCTACCACCTTCCACTGCCCTTACCCCTCCCCAACAGATTGTCATCCCAGCTACTGTCACATTTCTTTCTCTTCTTTTTCCTCCTGAAATGCCCTGAATAGACCCCAGAGCTGAGAAGTCCCCAAATGGGGTTTCTCTCGGAATTTGCAACAGACGAGAAGTGCCACCTCTTCCTTCATCCAGCTGCCTTCACCTCAGATGCCCACGTTAGCAAAGAATGAGGCAATGGAAATGTGGCCTGTCGTTAATGTTGGGGACCACCCAGGCAAAGCACACCCCTCACCACCCCACCATACACTTGCAGAAAAAGAAACTTAAACACATCCAAGTAACAGTCACGCACCACATGGATGGGGCAGAGAGGGAAGAGAGAATGAGGAACAAAATAATGATTGGGTAGACGGGTTTTAATCAAGGGAGACTTCCTGGAAGAAGACTGTTGACTTAGTCTTTAAGGCACCCAGGTTTCAGAGAAGGTGCTGAGGTCAGATAAAACCCGCCCAATCTCTACTCCAGATCCACCCGATATTGCCGCCAGTCCACCAAGGCATGTAAGCCATGCTTGCCAGACTTGGGGGGAAGGGCAGAGGCAGGCCCAAGGGTTTGCTTCATTTTGCTGCAGAATTTCTTTCTTCCTTTTTTTTTTAATCGTGCATATCACAGTTTTCTGAAAAACATCCAACTCGCAAAACCTCCAGTTCTCCAGGGAGCGATTAAGTGTTTGCCTGTCGTGCTGAAATGAAGGGCTGCTTTTACTCTGTAGTGGAGGGATAATGAGCAATGATTTATTTCCTTTGGATTGCGCACACACAGAGACACGCACGAGCATGGGCGCGCACGCGCGCGGTTTCTCTTGCATATACCTACGCCCCTCTGGGCCTTCGCTCAGCCAGTGCATGGCTAATACACTGAGGAGAAGCGACTGCGCCTCACTGATGGGAAAGTTCCTCCGCCCTGTGGTTCTGCCATTACTGGCGCCAATCCCTTGCCACCCACTAGTCAGGGGCTGAGGGAGGGCTGTTAAGGGTTCTATACCAAGACTTGAAAAGTAGGTCTCCAGCTGGAATGAAAGAGGAGATTAACTAGGTGCTCTTCCCTGTGGTGTCCTCCTGAGTCCTCTCTCACTATCCAAGGCAGGGCTGTGGAGTCCCCTCTCTGTCTCACCCAATCCCTGTGAAAACCTCAGCAGACAAGAACCTTCTTTGGAGACAGAGGACACACTCTGACCACTTACCTCCCTGTCTCCCAACTCGGTGGAGCCCTACTTGAAAATCTGCTTCTCCTCATGCAGAAGGGACTTAAGGATTATCCATATATCCATTTAGTCACTGCTGGGTGCTGGGCTGGGCCTGGGGATCCAAGGAAATAGATCTCTCCCTGAAGGCAAACCCCCATGCTCTAAGTAGCCCTGTGGGGGCTGAGATAGCAGAGGTTATAGGACTGTGGAGGAGGCATCGTGAAGGATGGGCTTAGCAGAGAGAGAGAAGTCCAAGGGTCTGCAGGCTCTCCTGGGCCACCAGGAAGTGCACTGGAACACTGGGAGAGTTCTGGTTTAATGCTGGGGTGGTGAGACTGAGACGGAATTTAAAAGGTGAAGCATCCTTTTCCCCTCCATCACTAAATAATTAGTGAGCATCCTGCATGTGCCAGCGAAGAAAGTGGGGTCAAAACCTAACGGCTTTCTAAACCACAGGAGGTTGCGACTTTTTCCTGGGAGCGGCTGGGAGTGATTGAAGGATTCTAAGCTGGAGAGTTGACGTCACCGTATTCGCATGTTAGAGAGGTTTCTCTGGCTGCCATGTGAGAAGCAGGCTGGGGTGGGAGCCAGGGGAACAGCTAGGAAGCTGTTGGCACCAGTCCAGGCTAGAGATGATGGTGGCTTAGATGGGGATGTGGAGAGAGAAGAAAGTGAATGGGTTTCAGAGACAGTTGGAAGTAGAGCAAACAGGGTTTGCTGGTGTTTTCTAGGGGGGTTGCTGAGGGCCTGGGGGCAATCAAGGACAATTCAGGTTTCCCCATGGGTAACTGAGCACTATGGCAGGAGGAGCTGCGATGTCCTCACTGCCCACCCATCTCGGCCACATACCTGGCTACAGGTGGAGAAGGGCCAGAGCCCAGGTCTCCAGGGTGCCTCTACCCACTGCCCCCCACTTCATGCCTTCTGTTTTCTGATGTGGTATTGATGCAGCTGGGAGCCCTGCACAGACAATAATGAGTCATTGCCTCCCTCTCCCCCAGATCTGAAGCCGTGGGTCTCTAACTTCACCTACCCCGGAGCCCGGGACTTCTCCCAGCTTGCTCTGGATCCCTCCAGGAACCAGCTCATTGTGGGAGCCAGGTAATCAAGTGGAAGGAGGGCTGGGGCCAGGATGGATGGGCAGAACTGGTATTTGGGGGATCTTCCCACTGGTGAGCCGATCTGTGTTTACACCCCTGTCGAGCCCTCTCTGTGTCTCAGTGTGTGTCCCCACAAAAGGAAGAGTTTGGTGGCTAGGTGAGGTTTGATCCCTAGGGCTCTGGCTTTCAACAAAGCACACGCCTTAGTGGTTGACAGTAATTGAGAGCAGGGACACCCACTGGCCACTTCCTGACCTCACTGCTCCCATCCCTGTTTCCATGCCTGCACCCAGCCTTGTCCCCATCCCTGCCAGGCTGCCAGGACCTCACTGGCTGAAGTCTTCTTAGGGAGCTCCGGACAGACAAGGTGCCCCGGAGCCCCCTGCTGGTCAGCTGCTCACCTGCACCCGGGTACAGCTGGGCATCAACTGTGTGCTCCTCTATGAAGCACCTCACTTCCCTGTTGCCTGACCTACTCACCAAATCCTGAAGGGGCCCTGGAGGCGCAGTGGTTAAGTGTTCAGCTGCGAATTTGGGTTGGCAGTTTGAACTCACCACCAGCTCTCAAAACAAAACACAACTTCCATCTCATTGCTGTGGAGTTGGAACTTCCTCACAGCTGACCCTTGAGTGAGTTTCCTGAGGCAGTTAATCGCACAGGAGGAGGAAATTGGATTTGAACCACATGCCATTGGAATTGCAGCACAGCTTCTACAGCAGCTCTCCCTCAGATTTCCAAAGCTGTATATCTTTACAGGAGGAAACTACCTATCTTTTTCCTGAAGACTGGCTGACGGATTTGAACTGCCCGTCTTTTGGTTAGCAGCCCCATGTGTTACACACCACCCCATCAGGGCTCCTGTGTGTGGAATAGAGCAGTGGTGGTGTGTGCCATCGAGTCAAAACCATAGTTGACCCTCCAGCATGTTTTCAGAGGTGGTAAATCACACGGGAGGAGAGTGCCCATCCTTGTCTTACAGAGCAGTGGGTGGATTTGAACCACAGGACTATGAGTTGACAGCACAGATCCTTAGCACAAAGCCACCAGAGCTCCCTATGGAGTGGAGTAGAAGATCTGGTAGAGAAGGGGGCTTAGAGGTGGTCTACCACAGCTCTGGGACCAGCAGTACTGACAGGCCCAGCATTACCTGGTAACTTGTTAGAAATGCAAGTTCTCTGGCTCTAGAGCCCAGACTTACTGGATTCAAAGCCTTGAGTGTGGATACATCTATATTTTAGCAAGCCCTCCAGATACTTCTGATGCACACTGAAGTCCAAGCATCGCTGATCTAAAGGCGCTATGACACTGCATATGTGTCATATGTTATATGTGGGGCTGCTGACTAGAAGAAGGTCAGTAGTTCTAATCCATCAGTGGCTCCGTGGGAGAGATCTGGGCATTCTCCTCCTGCTGTGAGTAAAGCTTGACTCAATGGTGGTGGGGTTGCTTTTTATTTGGTCTAACACACAGTTGCCCTAATCTTAGACATAAAACAGCACAGGCCCCTGAGAGCAGAAGGTGACCTTTTCTAGATCACATACAAGATGACAGAAGCATATGAGATTAGAACACGGGTCTCTAACCTCAGAGCTGAAGTTCCTTCTGCCATATCACAGCTATCAACCTGGACTGCACTGGATTTTTTACAAGCCCTCCAGCCCAAAGTTTCTGATTCAGCTGATCTAAGGTTGGGGAGAGCGTGGTCACATGTTGCCATTTCTGGGTTCATCGTGTGTCTCACTGTCCTCATCCTCTGCACTTTCCTTAGTGCCTCCAACTCTTCTTATGTGTGGAAAGGAGACTAGTCAAGGACAGAGCCCTAGCCTGGGAACAAGTGGACTGAGCTGATACTAACCTTTAAGCATCTGTTTCCTCATCTGTAAAATCTAGGCTGTAGTCCTTTTGCTGTTAACACAGCAGGGCATTTGTGAAGCTTGGGCTGTAAACAGTTTGGAACTTGTATAAGAGAGAATTAACTGTGCACGTGTGCCTCTAACAGGAACTGTTATGGATTTAGTCAGTCATCCACTTGTCACAGCTATGGAGCCAGAGCTGGGGGACCAGGAAGTGAATTCTGTGATTGTTCCCACTTTATGGATGTGGAAACTGGGTCTCTGAAGGGTTAAGTTACTTCCTTGTGATCACATTGCTCTTCGCAGTGCAGCTGTAAACAGTGTTTATTGTGCTGTGTTTCTGGAGGTCTCTTCACGAGCAGAGGGAATGTACCTTCTCCTGGGACCTTGAACCTGGCTCTGTCCTCAGATAATTGATGGAGGAGGAAGATAATCCTGGATTGGCCACTCCCATTCCTTGGAACAAACATAGGCTGTCCTGAGTTTCTCTTTCTTTCACTTGGTCGCTTTCCTTGAAGCCTGATTTTTTTTTTTTTTTGTCTTCTCTCTTCTTTCTGACCCCCTTGGGCCTCTGGAAGTCAGGCTGGAAATTTTGTATTCATTCATATTCCGCCTCCTTCCATAAGGGATTTAGGGCGGGTCAGGCTAAAAGATATTTCTCTCTGTTCTCATCTCCCAGAAGAGCAGACTGTGATGTTGTGATGGATGGTTTTTGATGGGATAAAAATGAATTAAGTGATGCAATGTTTTCCCTAATTTTTTAAAGCTGTGAGCAGATGCCTGCGTTACCTGAGCAGACAGCTGGGGCAAAGCCTGAGTCCATCTGTCCCTAAGCCAGGAGGTTGAGGTGGGGAAGCGCCCCTAAGGGTCTGAAGATGGGGGGTGACGTGAGATAGGCCAGAACATTTTCTAGTCGTCATTCCTAAAATCTCAGAAACCAAAAGAGGAAAATCCAAAGAAAATACATGCACCCAAGAAAGAGAAAAAGTCTTAGGGAAAACTAGGAACCAGTAGGCACTCTGGTGGCCTAGTGAGTAAGGAATTAATCGGCCAACCTAAAGGCACACAGTTCAAATCCACCAGCTGCTCTGAGGGAGAAAGGTGAGCAGTCTCCTCCTGTGAGATTTATAGCTTCTGAAATCTACTGAAGGATCAACTCATACTTGGTCCTGATTTGATGGTACATAACAACAATAAGAATATCTTATCTGCTTGAATTGCGCCTTCTCCAAACTCCTGTGAGGTAAGAAGGAGAGATGCCAAAATTAAGACCCTTTAAGGCCTCATCAGCAGGTGGCCGAACTGGAATCTCACTATCTCTGCTGCAGAGTTGACCTGACGAAGCTGAAACCCCTTTGCTGTGTTCCAGCAGGGTGGCTTTGTGATCCTCGGGGGCCCTCAAAGCCATGGAAAATGACCTCTGGTTCTAGGTGGCATACCAGCCTTTTCAAAGGTGCCTGACACTCTACTATTCAAGAATTGGACGATATTTTTATCATCATCGTCATTAAGGAGTCTTGGCAGTGGAGTGCATGATGTGCTGGGCTGCCAGCTGAAAGGTTGGCAGTTCTAATCCAGCAGTCACACCTTAAGAGAAAGATAGGTATCATCTCCCTTAAAGATTTGATCACCATGAGTCGGAATTGACCCATCAGCACTGGGCTTTTGACACTTTCTTGTTCAAGAAGTATCTGATATTTTAATTATCCATCAGCATCATATAAGACTTTGGAGCAACCAGCCAATTTCATGAAAACTGTGTTTTGAGGAAGGTTATGTCTGGCAGCCTGGTGTAGGTTGGACTGTGAGGGAAGATTATGAGGTACTGAATGGCAAAACCTGGACAGGAGGGGAGACAGTGGACCAGGAGAGTGGCCAAGGGAAGATCTGGGCCCAAAGAAAAGGTTGATTCAGAGTCATTGTAACAGAACTATAGGAGATGAGGAGGTCAATGAGGTCCAGGACCCCACACTGGGAACCAGGAGAGACGGCTGGGTCTGTGCAGAGACGAAAGAAACAGACTGGGGAAAGAGGCAGTGGGAGGGGGAAGATGACATGACTGGGTCCCTGCAAGAGCCCGGTGAGGCTTTAAGTTGAACAGAGCAGACTCTTCAGTTGGGGATGTGCTGGGTTCTCCCTGGCCTCCCGGGGTGGCAGGCATGGAGGTAGCACTGACTTTGGGGCTGGGTAAGCCTGGGCTTTCATCCCTGTTCTTTTTCTGACCATGTCTGTGACTTGGGCCAATCATCCAGCCTCATGCCGCTGTGTTTCATGTATACAATAGAGTTTTCTAACCTCTGCTCCCAGTGTTGTCTTGGAATGCAATTCCTCCCCAGGAGTCAGCCCCCCAGCAGGCTTCTTTGAAGATTCAGTACTCAAGTCTTGCGCCTCACTAGCCAAGGAGCTATTTCTTTCAGAACCGGCTTGGCTCCTGATTTCACTTCTGTTTCCACAGGAACTACCTCTTCAGACTCAGCCTTGCCAATGCCTCCCTCCTTCAGGTAAGGACGCTTGCTTGGGACTTCTCCGCCTCCCTCCTCTGTGATTTCCCAGGTACTGGGGGCAGTGAGAGACCCGAGATTCCGATTCCACTGACTGCTGACTCAGATGCTGACTGTCACAGTAACTGCTGGGAGATATCTGGGGAGTGGGGGCCAGCAGCCCGTATGCGCATGCAGGTGCCCAGGAGCTGGTAATTCGGAAGGACACTGGAAACCTTGGTGATGAGCAGGGGACGTGTCTCCATTTTCCTGGGACTGAGGGCTCCTAGGGCTGGAGGGCTTTCCATTCTAAAACTAGAACCATACCAGGCAGATGGGAGGGTTGGTTTTTCTAGGTCCAGAGCCCAAAGGTTAGGCCTCAAGGGAAAGAGTGTCCCTCGCTTCCTTTCTCACTCTGCTGAGTGATCGCCTTCCAACTCAGCATTTTCATTGAGCCGTGATCGATTTATTATCTGCTGCCAAGGAGGACTCCCCTAGCCTAATTCCCTAAGTGCTCAGGGAGGCGTTTTAATGGGACTCCTTGATCCAGAACATTTATTCCAGATTGAGAAACAGATGCCAGACCACCTCTGCAGAGGGTGAGCAGTTCACATTCTAGAGAAAGGAAGGGCGTCTCTTCTCCATCCACCTCCTTCCAGGAAAGAAGGGCTTCAGTTCTCATTTTGGGAGGATGAGGTGGGGCTTGTTGGTCTCCCAGGGATCATGCATTCATTGAGCACTTACTGTGCACCAAAGCTCATTTGGGGGCTGAGGGAATATAATAAAAGCAAGGTCTCTGCTCTCCAGGACTCCTAGTACAGCCAGGAAGTAAGAATGGGTGATGCATAGAACCAGTGAGTTGATGGGACATTCTTACCTCCTTTCTTCCAGCTGCAACTGGCTTTATCCCCAGGGGTCATTGCAGCTCTAAGCTGGAGTCCAGAAGTGAGGTATAAGAAAACAGAAATAAAGGCAAACCCTTCAGAAGGAAGAGGCTATGAGGAAACAGGACAAGTTGAAAGAACAGATGAGTGGCTATCCATCTATCCTTCTAGCCATATCCTTAACAACAAACCTAGATGTCTATACACTCATCTGTCCAGCAGACATGTGGTGAATACTCATTCAAGGCCAGGCCCTGTCCTATGCATGGCATTAGGCATGAGAGATCTAAAGGTGAATCAGATCCAGTCCCTTACTTCAAGGAGCTTACATACCAGAATCTCTTTCCTGGTTGGGGAACATGAGACACATCCTGGGGTCTGGGCTGGGGCAAATCAGGAAGTGTTCCCATAGGCATTATTCTGTGGCCTTTGGGCTCAGTCATAAGCGGTCAATTAAGAGTCTGTTTTCCAGTTGGCACCCACAGAAAATGAACCAATGCATCAGCAGTTCGGAGTCTGGGGAATGTTAGCACAGAAAAATTCAAAGTCATAGTAGAAGTGGCCTGGGTCATGGTCTGACGTCAACAGTTGACTTTTCCTTTAGTTCCTATGCTGTGCAAAGATGGCTGTAAAAGGAGCAAAGGTGACATGGGCATGGCTGATTCCAACCTCTGCTAACTCCACAAAGGGGAACTGTCCCCATCAACAATATCCACAGTATAAAACCGATCTCTGTAAGGTCAGACGTGCCCCCACCTCTGCTGGGCCCTTTTCTCCTAATTACTGGATCTGAAGTTCATTAAAAATGACCACACAGATCTTACAAGACCTCTTTTTACTCATAGTTGTGGAGTTTATTAGGGAAAGAAGTGAGGGGGGAAGGCAAAGGAGATCACAGTGAAAATCCAGGTTAAGTTAATAGCAATCCCAGGTTGACAGAAAGACACAATCCCTCAATTAGTTCAGATAGCTTCTCAATCGACAGCAAGATACATCTAGCACAGAAACCTCTGACCCCAAAAGACACATGCTACTTTATCTGCTTTCTTTTTTCTTGATGTTGAGGTTCCCAAATTCTGCAGCTGCTCTGGAGCTTAATGGTAAAACTAGCAATCCCCTTGTGGATCGGCTAACATACTCTGAAGAAGAAATGGCTCACATAGCTTTTGATGATGTGGGTGGGCTGCCTGCTCACACGCAGCTAGAGACCATGTTTCAGGAGTGGAGAACACTAAGACAATAACAGAAAAGTAATTTTTAAAAATCCTAATACCTAGTGGTCTTTTTGACCCATAAAATGGTCAAAGGGATGAAGAAATGGATGTTCAAAGAGAGAATGGATATGCTGTGGAGATAATGCAGGGAGGGGTGTGTGCTTTGTGGCTCAGAAGCAGGAGGAATTCTCCAGGGTTAGGAGGGTCTTCAAAGACTTCCCAGAGGAGATGCCTTGAGCTGGAGCTCAAAGAGAGACAGAGAGAGTGTGGCCAAGGAGGTGGGGGTAGAGGAGGAATGACTGCAGACACAGACGTGTGGAATGGTGTGGAGGCTGAAGAGCTCCAGGTGGCTAGCTCAAGGGTTGTGAGTGCGGTAAGGAGAAAACAAGGCCCTATAAGAGAGAACTGTCACATGCCGAGTCCATATTTTATTTTTAACATAATGGGGACACACTAAAGAGTTTTGAGTGGAGAAGTGGCATGAACAGATGTGGCGTTTAGATCACCAGGTGACGTGAGAGAACGGAGTAGCAGGGGACAGTTGAAATGGTCCAGGTGAGGATGGGGAGGAGTTAACTGGACAGCAGCTCTGAGGATGGAGAGAAGACTCAGCTCATCATGTCTTTTCTTTTTTCGGTGATGCTGTTGAGAATATACAGAGCAGAGCATACACTAATCCATGAATTACGTTGTGTAGCCATTCTGACGCTCCTTTTTGGAATTGTTTCTTCTCTGTTAATGTAAATTCACTTTCCCCTAAGTCTCTTATCTAAGAGTACAGAATCTTAAGGTAACAGAATTACTCAAGGTCACCACCTTGCACAACTTCAGGGGGACTTGGCACACTGTCTTCCATCTGAAGGTGTCCTCTGGAGGTGGGGAGATTGGCAGGCCTGGAGGATCTGGCAACAGCTAGATTTCTGGTTTGCACAGCTGGGAACCGTAAGCTCGAATACTAACTAGGGTCCTAGTTTTACACTGACTGCCCTTTAGAGTCACCAAGCAAGTTTAGGTGTGTGTGTGTGTGTGTGTGTGTGTGTGTGTGTGTGTGTGTGTGTGTAAACCAGTGATACCGAAGTCTCACCTTAAGATGATCTGATTTTCTGAATGGTCAGTGGTACAGCCTGGCGCTGCAGGACAGTCAGACCAGATCCACTGCTCTTGGAAGTGAAGAAGGCCTTTTCTGGGGGGCCAGGCTTGATGCTGCCCAGCAGATTTGGCCTCCCCGGATCTCGTGGAAGCTGATCAGATATTAGGACATTCTGACTTGAGACCTGGCTCTGATTTCTCCATCTTAGTGTCTATCTGGTGCGGTGTCTTTTGCTAACGCTATAACTCACATTTAGGGGCAGGAACCGAGCTTCAGGGATCTCCGGAGGACCCTGCAAACAGCCACAAGAGCACCAGGAATGGGTTTTGCTATCTTGCCCACGGTATCTCTTAGAGAGCTGACCTCAGATGTTTAGAGTGTTCCTTCACAACAGAATTTAGGGGAGTCTGTGTTATGTCCATGTTCCCACCCTAGGAGGTACCATCAGGCAACAGGGAAGAGAGCACAAGATAGTGAAGATGAGGCCGGTCATTTAGCATCTCCCCCACCAGTGCAGACCTCAGCGTCTGATCTGGTGGTAAGGCCATATAAGCCTGGCTTCAGTCGGTGCCCACCATCTCCCTCTCTGGGCTTTAGGCCCCTACTTAGAGGTTTGCTGCCCTCAGCATGCAGAGGCCGATTGCCTGATAAGCAAAGTAAGCGCAGGCTTACTTACACCTAATGACTAACCTGTAGTGAACAATTTCGCACATGTTTTTCAGTAGTGAAACTGTTCACTACTGATTACTACAAATACCTCTGCCTCCCTTGCTTATTTACTGGGTAATCTGACACCGTCAGCATCTGCCATTAAAAGTGGCTCCCCGAATGCCAACCATGGGCTGCGCGGACAGGAGAGGCAGAGCTAGGCTCCCAGCCAGCCCGGGCCTGCACACGGGCGCTAACGCTTCATTAAAAAGGCCATCAGGCCTCTTCCTTGGGGCCCCAGGGCCTGATTTCACCAAACTTAAGATCCAAAGCTTCATTGATGGTTTAAATAATTAACATCCCTTACAGAAAATTCTCAATGCAAACAGTTTATGCAAATCAGAGTCCATGAAAGGGGTTTCTAAGTACCGGCTAAAATTTTTATGTAAATGAATATTCCTAAGAGAGGCCCTAGTGGCATGGTGGTTAAAGTGTTTAGTCAGTGGTTTAAACCCACCAGCCACCGTGCAGGAGAAGGATGTGGCTGCTTCTGTAAGGACTCCCAGCCTTGGAAATCCTGTGGAGAGGTTCAGCTCTGTCCTTGCAAGGTCACTCACTGCAGTCAACTCGGTGGCTGTGTGTTTGGTTTTCTCTTTGTGTTTGGTTTGCCAACTCAGTGGCACCTAATAGCAACAATTCCTTAAGGAGAATTGAAATGTAATATCCTTCCCCCCAATTCTCCAAGCACTGAACGAAGGGAAGAAGCAGCTAAGAGCTGTCTCTCTCTCTCTCTCTCTCTCTCTCTCTCTCTGTGTGTGTGTGTGTGTGGTTGGGGCTTACTCATCAGCGTAACTTAATAAACTCGTCTTGGGAAAGAAAAGAAAGCAAATTGGTCAGCAATGTCAGGGGCCGCTAAGGGGGCCCATGTGATGAACACCAGAGTGCAAACTTGGATTTGGCAATTAAGAGCTCATGAGCGACCTTTTGCCAGAGCAGTTCCAGGGGATGACGTGGCTGAAGGCTTAATTGCAACGGATTTATGATCTCGGGTTGCCAGATGTCCTGCAAGTGCCGCGATGGGGGCTGTTCTGCACATACGCACCAGGCCACACAATAGGGCTTTGTTTGGGCCTGGACAGGCACTGAGGCTGATTCCTGAGCCTCTTCCAGTTTATCTTTGCTTCC